CAGGATTGCAGCAATTTCAATATAAATAGCTGTTATGGACCTGATATAGTGCGATTTGTCTATCTACAACAGAAAAGGACTGTTATACCAGATTAAGAATCTTATCACACGGCTTTTCAAATCGGTTCACCTCTCCCAGCTTAAATTTTAATTTGGGCATCCTGATACTATTGCAGAGATTGTGCTGCCAAATCTGCTACCCAGGTCCATCCCAGGTCCATGTGAGTATTCCCAGGAGTGCCCAGGCAGCCATTTTCTTAAACTGGAAAACCTCCGGATTTGAAAACAGGTGCGCTGAGCATTCCTGGGAGTGGGAAGGGACCCGGGATGGACTTGGGTGGCAAATTCAGCAGCAAAATTGCTGTGATAATATCAGGATACCCCCCAAATTAAAATTTAAGCCAGGAGAGATAAGCCAATTTGAAAAGCCATGCGATAAGCTTCTAAGTTTCAAACTCATGTTATGGAGCTGCTGAGCAGTTGTGTCTGCTAGTAACTGGAAAATGCATAGCTGTCCTGTATTGATATAGGGATAATGATCAAAAATGGAAATGAGATGGAATGAATCAGAGTAATCTCATCACTTTTCACGAATCACTTTTTCTTGGTTATGAAAATTTAATGGTGATTTTTTTTAAACAAAATGAAAGTAACAAATTGGTTGCAAATTTCCCTCCTAGCTACCCCAAAGGACCTATGAGAACAATACTAGTTGTTCTGTGCCATATTTTGGGGGTGACTATATTGAAAACTTCTCTTTTTAGGCTTTTTATGTGTGAAGATCTTCCAACAATTATTGATGTCCCTCAGTGCATTGAGAGACTTCATTTTGGCTGTAGGTCCCATTGAATCCCCTGTTCTGTTATCAACACAAAGACCAGATTTTTGTCACACAGTTGTCACCTATATTTATGTTGCCAATGGAATACATCTCCTTCCAATACTAGCATCCCCAACAAAAGAACTTTATTTGTACAGGCTCTCATTTCATGTCTAAGATTTCAGTGTTGGTATTATCACTACTGCCATATGCACTCCACTCTTCTTCTTCCTCTCTGTTATTCTCCAGGGGATCCGGCATAATAAAACTCTCAACTCAATCAAGAAAAACCCAACATGTGGCATGCAAAGAGAGGATGAAAAAAAGGAGCAAGCAAATAAACAAGCAGGCCCTTGTGTTTTCAGACTAATAGCACATTTGCTGCTTACTCTCAGTCTTTTTTTGGTACATGCACAGTTTCTCTTGTACATCTTTGCTCTGTGATTTGTTTCCTTCTGTTGTACAGCCCTAGAGGCTTAGTTGCTACCAAGGGGACATCAGCAGGTGTCTGAATAATTGGAATAAAATTTCTTTAGAAGATAGAGAGAATACTCAGATTTTTTTTGGTAGTTCATACGAGTTTTAGAAAGGTACTTTTCAAGGTCATTAGTACTATCCAATGCTTCTTTATCTTAAAGATGAAATTAATCTCTCTCTTTCTCTCTGTATACCTATGTGTGCATACATGTGCATGCATTATTTATGAACAGACAGATTGATTATTGGCCATAAATCTGTTTGTGTCTTACACATTAAGTCCCCTGCAAGAACATTTTTGTTCAATGCAAAATGTCTGGATTCATTTCATATTTGTGGAAATGGAGCCATGAATGTGCCATTGTGAATGGAGAAGTGCATGTGCTGCATATGCTCATCCATGTACATGTGATGCACATGCGCATGTACTTGCACATTCCATTGTGGTTTCACTTGCACAACTTTGCCATTCAACATAAGAGTTGCATAGAACAACTGGTGTATAATTTCATATGCCAATTATAATTATTCCTTTTCCTCCTTCTCTACAAGAAGGAAACTGAACGTTTTTCCTTCCATTTTCAACTGATGTAAGGGTTTTGCTTTAGATCAGAATTCAGAAACACTGTGATGGGTCTTAAGTAACTCAAATGTCTCTTTCCCTCAGTGTCCTCTGGCAGAAGTGCTTTGTCTCTTCCCAAGGCAAAGGCACTTGGTAGCAGACATTAGCAGCGTACAGTGAATTATCTTGGAAGTGGCTGCTTCCAAAGAAGGCAGACTATATATCTTGTACACAGATGCCAAGTGAGCCTTGGGAGTTGCTAATGTACAATGGAGTCTAACAAACAAGATAATTATCATACAGCAATTAGTATATTCAAAAGCATTAGTGGTATTATGTCCTTATCATATTCATATCTGATGATAATGATGATGATGATCATCATCTTCAGATACTTTCAGGTTCTTCCACTAAAGTGCTGTGCACATTGATTTTAGATCTCTTGCACAGGACTATGATTCTGCTTTCACTGTCATGGCAATGGTCTTTGGAATCCTGGATTTGCAGTTTCGGGAGGGCCATTTCATTTGCCTCCTCAAATTTCAAACCCCAGGATTCCATAGGATGCAGCCATGCCAGGTAAAGTGGAATTACAGTGCTATAGTTGTGCACTGTAAAAAGAGCCCATACTGTTTACATTGTATTAAATTTCTGAGTGCAAGATGCCTGTACAGAACACTTCCATGGAATCATTGTGAATTGCTCACCATTACAAATGTGATGGTGAGCTATAAACATTTGAAACTAAATGCAGTTCCTAACAGTAGACCCACTGGATCAATGAGATTTATATATGTGGTAACTTGCCATTCATCAATTGATACAATGAGACTACTCTAGTAGGGGCTAGCAGTTGGATTTAGGACCCAAATCCACTGTCCGTTAATGTTTATAGGTATTTCAGAATTCATTCTGTTCATAGGTTATAAAATAAACTAGTGTGCAACCAAGGACTCAGCTGTAAAGTGTCACCAAGGGCCAGAAAGAAAATCCATCCAAAACAGTTATTTTCTTCCTGAGGACAACGTAAAACAACTTTTCTGATTACACGACAGTCCATTTAATCCCTAGGAAACTTTCCTTTGTTACAGTTTCAAGGAGAATTACTTGAAATAATCCTTTGTACAATGCTCCCAGCTGTATTTTAGTTTCAAATCAGGTCCCTTTTCTCTTTCTCTTTGACTTTGTTTTTTTAAAAAGGAGACATCTAATCAATGCCTGCGTGGAAATGCTGAGGATAAGTTTGAATTTCTCTAGAATGGGTTACCTTTTGTCTGTCAACCTTTGCTAAATAAGCTAAGATACATCAGGGGTTGGACAAGAATAAAAATTGAATGTTATAATTCAACCATACTGACCATATTTCTTTAAGAGTACAATAGTTCATGCCTGACTTTAGTGCAGCTGATATGTGACAACTGTGGCATATTATGTGAGCCATATATCCAGCTGAGAAAATGGGTGACATATGTGACACCTGGCTTGACAACAGTACATGTGAAAAGGATCTAAGAGCCTTAGTAAACCACAAGGTGAACACGAGTCAACAGTGTGATGTCTCAGCTAAAAAAGGCAATGCAATTCCAGCCTGCATCAATAAGAGTATAGTGTCTAGACCAGGGGTAGGCAACCTAAGGCCTGGGGGCCGGATGCGCCCCCTCGAGGCCTTTAGACTGGCCCCAGGCTGGTCCTGCCGCCGCTGCTGCCCCCCGCCACCACCCGGCATGATGATATTGATTATTGTTGTTATTACTTGTTCTTGGGGTTTTCTTGGCAAAATCTCCACAGGGGTTTTGCCATGGCTTTTCTGGGGCTGAGAGAGTGTGCATGCATATTTTAATTTTTTTTTAATTTTTTTTAATTTTTAATTTTTATTTATTTATTCATTTATTTATTTTTGGTGCTTCGGCCCCCCAATTGTCTGAGGGACAGCAACCCAGCCCGCTGCTCAAAAAGGTTGCCTACCCCTGGCCTAGACTGAGGAAAGTAAGGGCCTTTGCAGACTGC